GCTATACGAGGTTATTACGTCTCTCTCTCTCTCTCTCTCTCTCTCTCTCTCTCTCGATGACTTCTATGAATATACACGCGTCAACTAACATTGACGATATGATGCAATATAAGAGGATAGCGGAAATTTCCTTGAAGCGTCGAAGAATACGATCAAATACCACGATTATGTCTATTTACGGCAATCGCGTAAATTTTCGTGACTCAATTTCTGGCGGCTGGTCCGATTTGTGTGCGCCAAAACGAGCGGCAATGATGCAGAGTATAAATCCTAACCGCGTCAAAAATCAATACTTCTTGGCACGATTACCGTAGACCTCCGCGAAGCACACCTTAATCTTTTCTCAATCGAGAACCTCGACACATTCCCGTTCTCGTTTGTCACGTAGAACCTGTTCTCGCGACGAATATATATATCACGTTGCAGGACGAAAATAAACTGGCGTATTTGATCAGTATTTGATATACTCATTGACATGTTGTTAACATCAAGATCGTTCAAATCGATTTCTTGCCACATCGTCTTGTCAAAATGTACGCGACGACAATTTTAGAATTAAAAGATTCCGAGTGAGATTAGTCTACAATTTGTACGATCTTATTTTAAATATATCGTTTGATTAGTACTAATGTATATAATCTGATAACTATACTTCGATCTTTTTTGATTGTTTCATTTTTTTCGATGGTTTGTTTTTTTGATAATATTTTTTAATTTCTTTTACGGAATATTATAAAATTGCAATTTGTATGCAATATTAAAAATTTACATATGCACATACACCTGCACACACGTATATACGCACGCACTTATTTCATAAAAAAATCAAAGATAAATAATTCTTTTTAAGCAACAGTCTTTTACAGTCTGATAATTAAAAAATTTACAAATTATGAACTCATCGTTAATTTTGATCAAACTGAGAAAAATTTCAAGACATTATAATAAATATATAATAAAAAATAATTAAAATTTAAGTAATTAATTTATGTTCTTATATATAATTTGACAAAGATTTCAAATTAATACGCCAAAATCAATTTATTCAATTAATTCATTAGAAATAGACGTATTAAAATTGCATAACAATAGATGAGCGTCGATGGGCTTTGATCGTAAGTAGAAATTACTCTCAAAGTTCATAACGTTTATATTATTCGAATACATTACTCCGTTATAAAATTGTCCTATCTAATCTTTTAAATAATGTTTTTTCAGAACAATGTTTTTTCTGTGATCATTAAATTAGTATTTTCGACTTATACCCATTATAACTTTTATCTCGAGTAATTTGCAGTTTTAAAGAGCTTGTTTTAAATACGCTTTAGAAAAATAAGCAACATGACTCACAGTCGGAAAATTCCGAAAAGACATAAAAATTTGCGACTATAAAATACACATCTACAAAAATACACATTTTACAAGCAAGATAATATCTGACGATAAATATATTTCATAATTAAGAGGAAGGGGATGCAGTGGCTCGGTTATTAATTGTATTATTGACAAGATAAAGAACGCTGATGATTACAACGGACATAGATTCGTCATCATTGTTATTCACATACGTTACATATGAATTCTTCCGCGATACAGAAATGCCGCTATCTAGGACAATTTCGCGGTAAAATGACGTTGACATAAATACATTTTGTCAATTACATTGATTTTGACATCAAGCAGTTAGGCTGCAGCACAATTCGACAAATGCATGAGCCCTCGTACTTGCTTTTACCTTCGTAAAATTCATCTGGATCAATCAGAAAATTCGACAGGCGTAAGGAACCAAGGAACGCCTCACTCTCTGAAGTGGTCACACCCCTGATCGACATTTTTTTCCAGGTCACCCCCGAGTCACGCGATCCTCGATGCAGCGTAAAATTGCACTACCGACAATTCCTTACTTCGACAGAAAATCTATTAACTCTCTTTTAATATTAAAAAGTTCTTGGAAGATTCTCCAGAATGTCACGGATAATTTTTTTTTGCAATTATGCGTCTGTGAAAAAAAAATTTATAATCAATGAACAACAAGAATTGAATTCGACACCGGCGAAATAACTTTTAATAGCGCGACGTCGCAGCGCGCTTCTACTTCGTCAAAGATGTCGTGCTAAAAAACATTGTGCTAATCACTTGTGCTTATCAATTGTGCCAACATTATTCATGAAGGTCGCGAAAGTAAATAAGAAACAATGAGGAACGCTGAAATAATAGCGGATGCGCTATTAATTCAGAAACATCAAATGTAATCGCATATTTTCCGATATATATAAAATAAAATCATGAAATACAAATGTGTTTGCCAATATCTGATATCGAGAGCATTGTAAATATTTATTCAAAGAGAATGATTCTAAACTAAAATTTTGATTTTCAAAATATAATAGCAAAAATTTAAGGAAAAATTTAATATGTATTAATGCTATTTTATTATAACTACGACTAAAATAACTCGCAAAAGAATTATTAAATTAAATCACGGGTGATTTCTTCTTTTCTAAATGGAGAACATTTTTTACAACTCAATTTTATTAATAAATAATTTTTTAATTACTTAGAAAATTATTATTTAAAGTTATTAATTTTTGATTGATTATTTTAGACAAAATTAAGTAACTTGTCTGTCAAGAGTTATTTATAACTCACCCAATCCAATAAATCGAATTATATCGGAATTGGAAAATGTACAAGATTTTCACGTCACTAGTTAATTATCATCAGATTTGACTCGTATTGATTATGTAATCGTCGCGGGAGCTATTTTCGTGAAATTTTTTCAATTTCACATATGCTATTTTCAAAATTCATCATTAAGGCCGATCTTCGAAACGATCGGACAGGAAGCTGTTTTCATAGAGTTTTTAGAATTTCACTTAACTCACGTAATGCCACTTTATCTTAGGTTTTACAATCTGCGCATAAAACAACTCAACAAGGAGCACTGCGAAACTACCGTGACAACCGCGAATTGCGGTTTATTTCTACGAAGTTAACTCTTGTCTTCTATACACATTCCGAAAGTCTCACCTCGCACTGACGAGACCAGATGAGACGAGCACCAACGACATCATTGTGACGACGGCTAAAATACTATCAGTCTGCAGAGAGAAGGTCTTAGGCTGTCTGCCAATTTCCTAAATCTTTACTCGCGTTGATCGACAGGATTTCGTTTTAATCAACGGTTAAAACGCGCGGTTAAAATTTCTCGATACTCCAAAATCTCGTTCACCAATTCGTAAAATATTTCAAATCTTCAAGTTTCTATTCGTTCATTCTTTTTCAGTTTCAAATTTCTTCTTGGTTTTTCCTTTATTATTTATTTATACCATTACTTTTCAGGCTAACATTTTCGTACCTAGCACGAGAATCGGCGAGTTCTGGCAACAGAAAATCACCAAGGCATTCGTCTTGCTTTCGCGGCTTCCGTGTATAATTCATATCGATCGCCATTCCTCTCACGAACTTTAATTAACTTCGCCTTCCGTGCGGCCAAATAAAACGTTGTAGCTATGTTGTGTGCGAGTTGACTACTATAATGCACCGTATAATATCATGACACGATTCGTGTTCGTTTTGCGGTGTAATTGCAATCAAGCAAAGATTATCGGCCATTTGAAGCGCGAAACCACATAAAAGTACAACATCTAATCGAAATTTGCTCAGAGAAAAAGATATCAAGAATATTTCTATAAGCATTGTGATTTTAGAATCATCATTCAAGGAAATTAAAAATATATCTTCTCTCTTTTCGATAAATAAAAAACAATTAGAAAATATTTTAAAAGATAGTTTCGTGATAACCTTATAATTTTAAAATGAGATTTCATCAGGTTGAAAAATAATTTTGATGCAACACTGAAAGATTAATGTCAAAGATTAACGATATGTTTTTTAGATTAAACTTATTTCGAGAACTAAAGAAAAATAATTTTATTTCTGCGAATAAACGTCCAAAAAATAACGTCAAAGAATAACTCTCTGACAACTTTGTGATTATGATTGCATATAAGTAACTATACGTCGTAGTAACTATACGCTCTTGTTGCATGGCTAATTGATTAGAAGCAGTTACATCACAAAATGATGACAATCGATGGTACTCACGATCGTGATGGTGATCCACATTGTGGCTCGGTGTGATCGAGCTGTCGGCGTCACCCTCACCATCCAATTCATAATAGATTCTGTCCGTGTCACTGTTCACCTCCTTCACGCTGTTCATGGCTATCACATTCTCCATAATTCTGCAAATGCGTTCATCATCTTGAGTGCTCGCTTTATTTAATTATCCACGACGTTGACGTGGCTGCATTATCAGTTATAATTTCTCGATAAGCGCTCGAATTGTAGTATACAAAGCCGCACGTTTTGTTTGAGAAAATATATAGGGTGATTCTAAATAAGTGCAAAAAATTTTAAGACACGAATTTTTGTCGAAAAGGGGGATCTTTTATATAAACATATAAAAGTACTTGGTGGAAAATGTCCATCAAATTTTACTATTTTAACTTGTTCAAAATTTGAGAAAAAAATGAAAACTTAATTTTTATTTTTCTCTTTGAAGGAAAATAACTTCACAGAAAAAATTCATGCTTATATGAAAGGCATCTCCTTAATTTTCAAAGAAAACTGAGAAGACAAAGAATTATTTCCTCTTCGCATTTATTTAGAATTATTTTATATAAATTAAATATAACTTTAGAAGACGTGTAGTGTATCTATAACATACGTACGTATCTATAACATAATTTCGAAAAATGCCATTCGCTATATTTACAATATGCAGCTATATTTATAATATGATTTTAAAAAATATTATTTAAAATTAGAGAATCAATATAATATTTATATTGATTCTCTAATTTTTTCCGATATTTGTATTATTTATTCTATTATTAAATAAATATTACTTAAATTATTCATTATAACGATAAATAAAATATTAAGGATACTATTGAGATCTAGAGAATCATTGAATACCATTATTTTTCATATAATGATAATATTTTCCTTTGTACAGTTTTATCATATCTACCAGTGTATATTGTCCTTTTATCTATTCCTTACAATGAGCTTCTTATCGACAAGATCACATAAGAATTCTTATCTCGCGATAAGAAACACTAATTGTGACTAATTGTGATAAAGTTAAATTGCAATATTAATCTCTATAACAATATTATGTGTTTAAATGTGAAATAATTTAATTTTTATATTATCATTTGATTTTATTTTATTAATATTTGATCGTTTGTTTAATAAAAAGTACGCAAATGCACAGATTATAATATATGATTAATAAAATTATTGTAAAAGTTCTAAAAAAAAATTGTCGATTTAATGCGAATAAATGCTATACAAAATTAACAAAATAGATTTACATATATCTGATTCGTATATTAATATTAATGCTTAACTGCTTTTTCACATCTCTGATACATCCAATTTGTCATTCTATCAAGTTTAAACGTTTGGCACGCTTTAATTGTCAATTAAAAGCATAAAATCATTCATGTTTAAACAGAGATTATTGTTATTGCAATTATGGAACCTCAACTCATTTTGAAAATAACGATAAACATAAAAATTTTTTTTCGTTATACAAATTATATCTGCGATTTAACCATTAACGTTTATGCTAGAAGTTTGCAGTTTGTTTATTTATATACAATGTCGACGATTAACAGTTTTTTTCCTGCGCACGTACACATCGCATAATCGCTCTTGCGATCAATTTGCATAATAATTAAACATCATTTTAAATTCCATGTGCTAAACTATAATCTGTGCATACATATCCGTGCATTAAAACATAAATACTAATATATAGAGTCAACATAAATGTAAATTTAAATGAGTCGATAAAAAATGTGCACGTCAGTCCTTCCTCGCTCACATAACAAACTCTCCAATCGTTATGCTATAAGAGTACTTTTTATGGAAGAAGGAGAACACGCGTGAGTCGTACTAAAGTTGAATTAATTGCTAATTACATATGCTAATTTGCGAGTTTTTTCATACGCCAGGTCGATCCGGTTCACCGGTACCCGTGTCGAACAGTCACGAAGCGCGATTATTTAGCGCGTCTAAGTCTCTTACTTGCGTTCACACCGTTTTGGACGAGGAACGCGTAATGCACACCTGTCAATCGTGCTGTCGTTATCGAGCTATCCTCGATCAGCGGCTACAGTGGACGCGACGAAAGCCGAGCGAATCGCGGGGCGGCGCGGCAGGCGCGCTCAGCCAATCGCGGCGTGGTTGCACGCCATTCAGGGCCGCGCGCTTCGATCCGCACGATCAGAGTGAAGTTGCGCGAGGGACAACGCGGTTGTGGGACGCCTCACCATGACGAGCCGAACACGGCGACGGTCGGTGACGTGTTCGGCGACGTTCAGCCACGCATGAGAGGCGAACTGATCGCAACGCGAACATGACGACTCTCCTCACCACAAAGACTCCACGTCACGAGTGCATAGCACAATCGCCACAAAATGCCGGTGCGCTTTGGAGTCTGACACTCTGACGCACGCCACGACCCACGATATATCGAAGTGACGTATAGGCGTGAGATCGTCACACACGTGAATTTTTAGATGCCTATGTATGAAGCATGTATGGGAATTATGAGAAATCCATTGTATGCTCCGACACGTGTACGAATTGATGTATTATAGGCGTGAATGATCCTGCGCGTATAAACGATACAGCATTTCCTTTTTATGAAGAAATAAACCTGATAATCACTGATTGACTGATGTATTTCCTTGATATCTCTGTATATATCACTTGATATTTGTGTCTCTTTAAAACCGCCCCTTTTACGGACTTAGATTTAATTGAACTGTTCACCGTAAACACTACACCACGAATTCAACAAAATGTAAATAAAAATAAGCCAGTTTTGCAAGAAGACTTCGCAAATCTTCAGCCACCTTGGTCAACGGAAATTTCTCTTGCATATATCTTTCTCCGTCTCTTTTTCTCTCTCAGTTCCTTTCACTTAATTCGCTCGTATAACTGTGCCACGATGAAAGAACGTGACAGCGCATCGCGTCGTGCTCCGCGAGATGACACGATTCTACGTGGCGATAATTCCAAAGCAAGAAGGAACAAGATAGAAAGAGTGGAATAAGACAATGCACAGTGAAAACAGTAAAATCCCTACCTTTCTCAGAACACTTACGATGAAACGAACGAAAGCTCGGACCGATTTCTTCAACGATGAACTTTTACAGCACTGCGTCCGTGGTGTGACGCGCGTGGCACTGAGCGTGATTGGTGGAAGAGGCGCGATACAGCTGCGAACCGCGACGTTTCGGCTGGCGCAGACTCGCTCCCGTCGATTCCGTGAAAATCCATACCATGCGACTGACCACCACCACCACCGCGCTGCACTAATTATACGTCACTACGGGATCGTGTTGCGTAGCATTGTGTAGCGCACGTATCAAATATTTACGAGAGCGCGTAGATTGTAAAAAAAAATCTCGAAATGTGCACGTAGCACTGCTACGGTTAACGAAATTGGCTTCGGCCAATGCCCCCATTCCTATGTAGATTAATTTTAATTTTGAATTAACTTGCTTTTTTCTTTTTTTTTTTAATTCTAAAAAAAATAGGAAAAGATAAAGAGTAGAAAATTTAATCGAGATTAAAGTTAAATCTACATTGATAGAAATGGTAAAAATGGATAGAAATGGCATATGAGTCGACGATCATAAACTTGATCTTGAGAATTTTACATAAAAAAGTATCTGTGAAGGAAACAAATAAGTAAATTTATATATTTGCGTGATTATGTATCATATGTCTAGTTAGAGTACGTAGAGAGAGATGAATATGTTTATCGAACAAATGCATTCGTTTACTGACTCATTGCACATATTGCGCAATATGTGTCTGAATGAGAAACATGGAAAATTAAATTGATTTTACATGATTTTTTAAAAGATTTTTAAAACTTGGAACTTTTTTCTGTTTTAATATTAATTGATATTATTAAATCTATGGAGGTGATTAATTAATCTAAATTAATTAATTTTTCTCGTCTTTTTCCAGATTTTATTAATATTTTTAAAAATAATCAATTTTTATAATGCATCAAATACGTTTCTGACTATTGTTTTTGCGCGACTGCAATGCGTATTTACAGATATAATTAATTATATTTTAATTAGATTGCAAACTGAAAATGGGTAATGTCCACAAAATAACACATATTTTCACTTGCACCTTGTTTCACCATTTTATTCTATTGCTTACATATTTACATCATATGTAAATATGATATTTACGATAGCAATGCCAAGCGAAAATCCAAAACTTAATTACTCTCATCGTTTACTACAACTCGTGGACTCTAATTAACACTGTAATTAGAATTATATTCACTGTATTCATATTCCTGGCATTTCTTGCGAATAAACTTAACGCGTCCATCTTTGAGTCCAAGAAGATCCACTCGTATTCTCCGAATCACATTTATTCTTATTATAGTTTATCTTCATTTGTATCAGACTAACTGATTATCTGTTCTTTCCTTTTAATGCTGATACTTTATATATTTTAATTAAAATCATATTGTTTGTATCTATCTCTCTTGATCATCGAAAATCCGTTTCGAGATTTGAAGATTCAATCATTCTTCTTCAGTCCATTTATCTTATTAACAGGATCTTGTTATTGCGATCTTCCTTCATATCACAAATTCAATCTTCCCGACATATATCACATACTTCAATTGAAATCGAAATCACTCTCCGTATTTGAAACATTTCTCTCGATCGTCGTGTCCGTGTCAGAATCCAACAGGGACTTGATCACATCCTTCTTCTTTTTCGATTGACTCGTCCCGTCAACAGCAGCTGCCTGTTGTGATTTATCCTCATCTCTGTCGGATTTGTGTTCCGATTCCGGATCTGCCGGTTTCTGGAAGGTCTCCTCTGTTTCCGGTTTTTCTTCCTGTTCCTCGGCATCGGGATTGGCCTGTCCTTCTTTATAGTCTTGTTCATACGCATTATCGTACGTCTGATTAGGATCATAGGGAACTTCTTCGGTGTAATCATACGTCTGATTATCAGGATTGTTCTCGTATCCTTGATTGGGGTCATATTGTTGATTGGGATCCCCATATCCTTGATTAGGGTCGTAGTTATAATCGTACGCTCGATTCGGATCCTGCTCATATTGTGCATCAGGATAGTGTTGGTACTCTTGATTACTGGGACCTTCGGGATATTGTTCGTACTGGCCCTCTACGTACTCAACGTATTCTTGACCTTCTTGAGCGTATCCTTGCTCGCCATATCTTTCATATTCTTCGTTACCAGCTGCCTCGTACGATATATTTGGATCATAATATTGCTGGTTTGGATCTTGTTCATATTGCTGCGCTTGGTTCGAATCCTCGACGTATCCTTGCTCGACATTATATTCGTTATCTTTTATCACATTTTCAAATTTATCGTCGGTTCGCAGCTCCGCCGTCTCGTTGTCAGCTTGTTTCTCCCTGTCACTTTCATCTAACTTGCCAAGTTCCTCATCCGCCTGAGATGCGATTTTAGGCTCATCAACTGTATATTGACTTGGAAGTTTAGGAGACACATTTTCGGTATTCTCAGGAAGCTCACGCAATTCGTTTTCGTTTCGCCCATCGAGCTCATTCACTTCATTCGTATCCAGTCTTTTCGTTTCTAATTCCGAGCAAGGAAGAGTATTCTGCGGAAGATGCGCGTTCTCCACTTCATTTTTCGTATCGATTTGCTCGGTGAATTGTGGCGACTCCCGCGATTCGTTTCCGATTTCCTCTCTGATCTTGTCCACGATCTGTTCAGTATCTTTTCCCGCTACTTGATTTCTGTCAGGATCATCCAAATGTAATTCGTGAACTTTTCTCTGCATACTCGAGAGATCCCATGGTGCCAATTCCTCGACGACGTCAAACAGATCTTCAATATTCGATTCCTCACCGGTTACCAGATCATGTTGCTTCTCCTTCAATGCTTTTTCCAAATCGTTGATCTGTGATTCGTCACTTGTCGTTATTTTCATGTTTACATTATCTTTCTTCGTAATGGATATTTCCCGATTGCGATCTTGTGAATCAGCTGAATCGCCCGCGTTATTCCAGGTCTGTTTTGCAATCTCCGTATTTCCGTGCGGCTGTTCTAATTTCGCTGAGTGTGTCGCAATGTCTTCTCTAATTTCGTTCCCTGCCAGAATCGCGCGTCCTTCAGCTTCGCATTTTCCTTTCAATTCCGATGCGTCAGTTTTCGTTACTTCGCGATGTCTAATTTCGTTCCCGACTTCCGTGGGTGAGCTGCCGTCATTTTGCTCAGCCGGATTTCTCGTGACCTCCTTTAGATTCGCCGTCCTCGACGCAAGATCACTAGCCAATGCTAGGATCCTCCCCATTTCCTCGGGCATCCGCTCCTTCTTCGCCCGATCTTCAGCCGGAAGTTCCAAAGCGTCCTCCGACAGAGAAACATTCAACAGATCGCCGCTAGTGTTTTGCTCATGGTCCAGCTCGTCCAAGCTGCCATGTTCCCGATGGAGCTTGCGAATATTGTTGATGTATCGATCCAGTTCGTTCTCCAGGATCGCCGTCTTGCCATTCTCGTCCAAATTGACGTTGTTCATTCCCAAAGCGTTCGACGATCGACTTGAGGTCTTGCCGACATCCGCGTTTCCCCATAGCAAACGCTCGTTGAGCCTCAGATCGTCCAAATCGTCGCTAGTGATGGAACGAATGGATCCTTCGTCATCAGACTTTTGTGGACTCGCCAGGATATAGTCCATGTATCCCGGCAACGGACCGATCTGATTAACATCTGATCCCGCACGGTATACACTCGATTTTCCGGTCACTGAGGTCGGTCCTGCGGCCGCAATCTCGGACGGATCGTATTCTCTCATCCGCAATTGCGACGGCAATATATTGGCATCGTGATAGCGAAGTAAAGGATCGATTGGTTGTGCAACAGGGATATTTCGTGGTATCTCTCCGTATCGCGCGGTCGACGAGAGGCCGGATGCTGCTTGTTCCGATTCCACATGCTTCCTGAAGAATCGGCTGACGGGAATAACATTGGACTGTGTATTATCCGAGCGAGGCATTGACAAAACCGGTGCTTCCGCGTAAGAAACGCGTAAGTCTGGGACACGTTGGAGATTGCTTTCGTCATACCTGGAGGGTATCACCCGCGGATACTGGGCACTTGGCGAAGAAATCGTCGACATTTGGGCGAGCTGATCGCCCGTTTGACCGATCGGAGGAATGTAAACGTGAGATCTATGCAAAGCATTCATCTGACGATGATCAACGCCGAGAGGTACATTTGCTGACGTAGTAGTTAAAATTGAAGAATTATTTAATGGGACGCTGTTTACGTGAAACTTTGGCTGATTTAGTTGAGGATCGGGCACTCGCGGTGATGGGACGCCTCTTGTTTCTGCGAACGCTAAATCAGGATATGCCACCCCCACGGTTTTCTTCGTATATTTATCTTCATTCTGACTGGCGATGCCACTGTCCCCGGTAACACTACCGGGTGGTCGATGATTGGAGTATACGCGAAGTAGATAAGCTTCATATTGTTTCTAAAACGGAGTTTCAATATTCTCATTAGATAAAATAAATCGACGTAGATAGAATAATAGGCTGTGGTTTATTTTTCATACTTTCGTATATCTCATTGTGATTACAAAAAACAAGTGTAATATATGTAATAGAAAAAATAAATAATATATATATATATATGTATATATATATATAATATATATATATATATATATATATATATGTGAATCTAGTTCTTATGTGAATAATATTTTTTAACAATTATTTTTAACATTTATTTATTATTTGTTTTAAATGAAAATAAACAGTAACATAAAGCAATTTCTTCATAATGTATAACAAGCACTCACTCTGAGAACATTCAGTCGATCTTTTTTCGCGCTCATCAACGCGAGCTTGTTCATAACTTTGTCCAATGCTGCGAGAAGTTTGTGATTCCTCTCATCTCTTGTACGTTGCTCTTCCAAATATTGTATATACCTCATACGCAATCGACTTATACAGGCATCGTGTCTGCAATTAGAAAATCAAGTTATTGTTATTGAGCGGCAAGTTTTAGGTTTAAAAATACTTTGGCTGAGAAAATACTTTCTTACATTTTTTTCTTTGATTCTTATTTTTAATATTCCCAATATTCTAAATTGAACATACAATATTATAAATTGAAAAGTCTATAAATTGGTAAATTGAATAAATAAATTAAAAATTGTATGTATTAGATATTTTATACATTATTTGTAAATTTTCTTTATATATATATTTTCTTTCACAAAATTACGATGTGTATAGAAGATATATATATATATATATATATATTACAAAAATAAATATATTAAACAGTCAATTAAGAAGTTAATATGATCTCCTCACGATCGAACAGCCTTTCGTGACCTCGTAGCATAAGATTGCCGAAGTCTTTACGACAATATATAGCTAACGCAATGACTTTAAAAATGGAAACGCGCATCATTGTGCGGCATAAAATATGCGAACATTTTTATTCTGTGTTCACGATCAATGAAACGCTAGAATGTCTCGGCCAGACACGGAACGCGTAAACAACGAGTAAGATAGAGGAATTGGCATTGTCCCGACCGCGGAGATATGTCGACGGGAACGGGATTGCGCTCGCGGCATTATTGATCGTGACATTCCGTAGAAGGGAGCCAGTGGATCGATATCGAGTATTTCCTCAGGTAATTCCTCTACATCTGCAATAGGTGAATTGTAGAGCGATATACTAATGTTCACATTTTCAAATCGAGAAACTTTTAAATTCAAAAAATTTGAGATAAAATAGATTTATTAGTCGCAATAAAATCTTTTTATTGCAAGAGTAACAGTTTTTAAAAATAAAAATTCACTTGAAAATTTTTCAGTTATTTTTTTATTTGTGTACTACTTCTATCATTTCATTAATTTTTTTCTCAAGTAACGATAAAAGGAATAATGAATTGAAATAATAATAAATGTAGAATAATTAGCTTGCGTCAAGTTATAAAATAATAAATAAATCGTATTTAGCAAATTTAACCAGAATATTTGTAATTGTTCACCGTTAATTTTTTCATAATAATATCACTCGATCTGGGCTTCCGTAATTCAAAATCTGCCAACTCAATACCGCAACAACTCGATTCCGGACACAGATTCCGGATAAGCGATAATTTATTACTCACCTGTTACGAGATTCCCGCATAAGCATATTGAATCGCTCCTCGAGTCGTATTCTCTCCTCCTCGCTGGAAAATTCGTAACGTTACGAACCGAACATAATTATACACCTGCGATAGTATTCACGAGACCTACGATTACCTCCCGGGAGGAGTGGTGTACTTGCCTCTTCCGCAGTTTCTCCTGAAGCTCGAACATCTTCTTGTAATAATCATGATCATTGTAAAGCGGTGCCATGCTGCGCGCCATTCAAAGGTCAAAAAGATGAAAGACGATCGTGCGACATCGAGATGCGATCAATCGATTCAAATATTCCGCGCGACGGAAGTTTAGATTTGCGCACGATATGATTCGAAAAACAAAAGAGCTTTAGAATATTGATAATTGTTTAAATAATTTTTCATCTCAAAGGAATTATAAAAAGAATAATGCATTGTTAAATAATGAGAAAAATAAAAACGCGTTTTTACTTTTTTCGATCTTTCACACTTTTCCTGCAATCTCTTGCATCAGAAATTATATCAATTTCTTTCGAAAGAAGTCTTATAAAAAAAAAAAAAGAGAAGAAATATGAAGAAAAAGATTTGAGAGAAGTATGTATATAAATTGTGACAAAAATTGAACATTCAAGAAATTTCCAAAAGCGTGATTACGTATTTTGAAAAAAATGTAAAAAATAAACGGAGGTTATTGGAGAACGCGAAGTATTTCAGATGTATAAGTCAAAATTCCTAAAAGAATAATGAAGACATTTTTTTAAAAAAAGGAAAACCTGAAGGAACACAGAACGAAATTAAAAATTCCACGTGATGATTTAAACGACGACGTGTACTTTTGAGCTTGAAAATAATTTTGAAACGATCTTATATCGGAATTAAATTCAGGCGAAAACTTGAGTGAGTATATTAGTGAGAACACGCAAACACTCGCTCTGAATTATCCGCGCGTGACGAAAGTACCGATGCAATGACGACGGAACGACGAGCATTCGATGTGTTCGAGATATTTCAATATCCGATGTTCGGGCCCTCGGGTGCGAGGGAACGATCCTTCGTCATGCCGACGCGACGAGCAACTGTCGCGGTCGAATCGTCGAGTCCACCGTGGCAGGTCGGGGTTGTTTCAGCGGGTAAACACGCAGGTGTTACGTTCCCTACTCCCTTTATGCCAAGCGAATTCGTGCGAGCCGTTAAGCAGCGGCCGTTTAACTTGAATTTCGTGATGTTACGAAACAAGTGGATCGGGATTTTCATTACATGTGCGACATGTACCCACATGATCCTCGTCCTTTCAGATTTATATCAGCCACGATTTTTCGTATCGTTTAAGTCGAAACTCGCGTTTTCAGTTTCGCAGGAAGTAGACAGTTTAATTCGTCGTTCGTTAATTTTGCATAAACGAAAGTTTAATTCCCTTGTCATTTTTGAGGCAAGATATTGCTAAGTCAGATTAAAATAAATTTATTGTTAATGCGTTATTTAATGAATATCCGCGCGTAAAAAACGATTAACCGCGTGACTGAGATTGTAGAAGCACCAGGTTGAAATTTTTAGGACTCCGACGTAACGACATCAATCGCAATGCCGAAATATCGTATATAATCGATAAAAGTCACATTGCAGTAGTTAAATGAAATATAACTAAATGCCATCGATCGGGAAAGGACGCTTGAAGATGCAATCTGCGGCGCAATTCTCTATGCGGTCACGTCGCGTGCCAGTCGCGAATTTTCTCCCTTTTCCCCTTATCGTGTGCCCCAACCTTCGACCTTCCAGTTAGTTGACTCACCTTGATAAGCGAAATAAGAGAAGGCGGCGTAACTGTGTGCGAAACATTATATTAATAAATTAAATCTGCGTCACTATTTATTTTAGCTACATCAATGAACTACATCTACGTTTCATGTTCCTTGAGAATTTTGTCCGCTTCTTATTTAAATTATTACAAAGAAGGAGAAAATGGTTTTAATTCCTGGATTTGGATAGAAGTTCTTCCTTCGTGTCCTTACACACACACACACACATTTTTGCAATATAGATATTCCTTTCATGAATCTTTATGTCACTTTCCTATACTTCGCGCGCAAATGTTCCGTCAACTCGGGTGTCTTCGACGTCGCCATGTAGAAGATGAACTCCAAATTGTCGCCATTGCGTGTAAATACTCGACGCGTCTATCGTGAAAGGAAAAGCAACGTTATTGAATAATTATATGCTAAAGTATTGATATTTGTAAAGAAAATGTCCGGTCGTGTACCTCTGTTACAGTCGCGAAATGTGGTATCGATGCATCTGTCGTCAATATATTGGTGCTCTTCAAATCGATGATAGTGTTATTATCATCTGTCAGATCACCTTGTTCGACCGTGAACATTCCTATATTATTAATCAGGCTGAGGGCGATCTTTTTGGTATCCGGTAAGATTTGCAGGAAGCCAGTCTCTCGATGCATCGGCATACCGGTTTCTGGATGCCAACTCTGCGCGATGTAATTGAACAACGGCTGGCCTATAGATGTAATATTTATTTCGTCGAAATAATTGAAGGGCTTGATGGTCGGGTACGTGCCCACCGCGGGCTCATCCGTTATCCATGTGCCCTCCAACCAGGCCAGGACGTGCAAGAGCTCGTGCAATGGAAAGATCTTCATATACATCTTTGCAACTATTGCAGTACAACTAACAATCTAAAAGTCTAAGATTCTCAATTGCATTTATATGATTCCCACATTCAATTCAACTGCTGGCCGTACTTTATACTGAAATCGCAGTACGAGATTTCCAGTATTTTATACTTTTCCTCGATCTCATTCATTATTATATGGAATTACACAATGTTCTCTAATATTACGGCCACTCAACCCTCGCATCACAACGGAAGTCACTATCGTCGATCGAAAAAAACATATACTTTATATATCATCAAAGGTATTCTCTTTTCAGCATCTGTTTTCGTCTTGCCTCTTTTTCTCTCCTACATTTAATTACATGTACATGTTCCAAGAAAAAACATACCATTATATAGTCATGAAAAACCTCAAATTGTTATATAACAAACAGAAACATTTTTAACAGCAATTTCACAGGCAATTATTGGATAATGGATTCGTGCAACGGATGTTCATATAATCATGATAAAGCATCAAATGATAAATCGATGTACATATATTTTTACTCTAACGTTTTATTTGCGTATGACGATTACAGTAAATTACAGTAGTCAAAAAGCAACAGCAAGATAAAAACTTCTTTTGTGTTTCATATCCTTTTATGATTCCTCACTCAGTTTCACATACTTCATAGATATTTAAATTTTGTAAATTACAATAATAAATCATCTAAAACAAATAGTAAAATAAAAACTCTATTTGCTCTTCCCATCCTTTTACGTTTCTTCCTTTACTTTCACATATTTTGCTCGCAGGTGTTCAGTCAGCACTGGAGTATTTGATGTTGCCATATAAAATACATATTCTAAACAATTATCACAGAGTTTATATTCCCTGCGTATCTATTACAAAATTTAAAATATATTTTAATTACATAATGAATAATAAATATATAAATTATGATGTTAAACTGGTAACATTTAGATATACCTGTGTTACATGAGGCATCTTTGTTCCCTTTAATCTTACTATATCTGTACTGTTTAAGTTGATAGTTTTATCAATTACTTCACCACATTCAATAGTTGTTAAACCAAAATTGTGTGCTAAGATAAGAGACACTTGATTAGTTCCTGGATTTACTTTCAAAAAGCCAGTTTCCTGATGCATTGGTTTTTTTAAATCTGATCTGGAGAAGCTTCGTCCAGTATAATTGAACATAGGCTGTCCCAAGGATGTGAAACTTATTTCTTCGTAATAGCTAAAATCTTTTATCGTGGGATACTTGCCGCAGCCTTGGTCCTCTGTTCTCCACGTTCCCTCTAGCCAAGCCAATTGTTCTAGTGCTTCATGCAATGGAAAACGTTCCATTTTTCTAGAATCTATATTATTTTGTATACATTCTAGATATATTAAACAAATATATAAATTTATATGCTAAAACAGGAATTTGTTCATAAATGTATTTCTTCAATTTCAACTTTAAGAGAAATTTCAAGATCAATTTCTCAAAATAACCCGCAAATTCAACTTGTAATTACACTGTCATATAATCTGGAAGAACAAAGACATAAGAAAAATTATATTTATTTCCTTTTTGCATTTGCAGTTCCCTAAGACATAAATAAAAGCGCAACTATAAAAATTATATTAGATTAAGTTAGCATATGTTAGCGACTAAATTCTGAATTTCGCGAAATACACATACATATGTTTTGTGTAGTACACGTAATATGATAGCGTAGAGTATAGATGGAAACATACTATATGCTTTACGAAGTTTAGCCAATATCAGCCCATCAACAGCCAAATGCCAGTTTATGTTGTCAGAAAGAAGTTTGAGAGCTGACACGCCCGTCCCCGTATTTTAACTGACATCAGTTGTTCACATTACTGGATTAATCATGTCATCGTACGTCACTAACCTATATGATGTATATATATATTATATATATATTATATACATATTACTAAATCTGATCATATTTTTTAGTCCACAGTCCACATTAAAGCGACAGCGACAAATTCTTAATTGACGGATTTTTTTTATATATCGAAATGTATATACTTCTAGAGAAAGTTTTATATTTTTGACCGAATAAACTAAGAATTTTCATCGATTTGTACGATGTCAAATGTCTCGTGATTTCTCAAATTCACTTCATACTTTTTCTGGGTTATGAAAAGGAAACATGATTAATGTGAGCATAGGTCAGCTCGTGAATCAAGTGGATAAAAGCGATTTTACATTGTACGCAGAATGGGAAGACACATATTTTAAGATAATAGTTTTAAGATCATGTACGGTACCAATAACTGGCGAGGTATATATGATTGACTTAATTATTATTTATTTTACTGCATATTTACCCATATATGAGAAAATTTTGGAATGTCGTGTTTATTGCAAGAATAAAATGTCTCTGCTGACAATCGCAATAACTCCATTATTTATTAATTTATCTTAACTTTTTAGATGCATATAGAGAATGCTAATTACTTTCTAGATCACTTAGACGAATCCTTTGAAACATATTTGGAAAAAACGAAACAAGCATTTTCTGGCAAGAATGCTGATATACAGTTTTTTCTTGAGGATGATATATTTATGTGGAAGCAACAAAATATTGTCACTCGTGGAAAAATTATAATGCACTCTCTTTCGAATATATTAATTCTTTCTGATATTTTAAAACAGCTGTTAGAACTTTATCAAAAATGTCAAGAGCGAGTATTAACATTGGATAATGAGAATGAACATTTGAGCAAAGCCAATACAAAACTGATTACAGATATAGAAGAAATGATAAATATGAAAACTACTATGGAAAAAGATCTTTATATGAGATTTCTTTTACTTTTGAATACAAAAAAGAAAAAGATTAGAGAACTTCAAAAAGCTTTAGATAACAATAAAAAGACAACAAAATCAGTATTTGATGAAACTACAGATGAAGAGAGCGAGGGATCAGATGTAGATGACAGTAAGAAAATACGTGATACCTAAATCATCCAGGACAAGG